TAAATGCAATATGGTTTTGTAGTAGACTAGCCATATCTCTCTTTAAAATTAGAGACATAGAAGTTATTTGCTTAATTCATCAATAAATAAACAATGAAAAAGCAAAATTCACTATCATCTGTTTCCAGGTTGTGTCAGTTCTGGAAAGAAAAATGTCAGTCTGCCAGAGTGTAATTGTCTGCAATTTAGTTGTCTTAATTTTGTTTGTACCCCAAATATTTGAGAACATAATTAGCCATAGTACTAAATCTTCCTCCAATGAAAATGAGTAGCATTGGGACTTAAATCACAAATCAAAATGCCCAAGACCAAGAATTAACAAAATTATCCTCTTTCATCAGATTTTGAAGTTCTTCAAAACTGACTTTCTTTCAAAAAAGAAGCAACACACAAAACGTAACACTTTAACATCTTTTAATGTTACCCTGTCAGTATGTATCAACGTTAATTAATTCTGAATTATGGTTATTCTCACATCTTAATAACAATATATTTTTATAGATAATTAGTTGAAAATAATTTCTACAAGCCCATTGCCACTGAAAAAAAAAAACAATATGTGAGGGTATTCAGGTTAAAAAATTGTGTTTTATTTCATGCCACATGGGAAAATCCAATGTGTTATAAACCAATTAACACAAAAAGAGTGTCGCATACCATAACATCCACATGAAATTTCATTGTCATTTTCTGTTTTTAAATTCACTTGGAATATAGAGATCATCTCCTCCTTCATAATCCTCTTGTCCATAAAATTGAATAATCCAAATTTTACCCAAAATGTAAGACACTACTATTTACTCATGAAATACATTTGATTTTCAAACGAGATGTCATAAGAAAATTTCAACGTAAGTAAAATTACTGAATTACTAGAACTGTGGTAGTTGACAAACATTATTCCATTAAACAGTAATGAGCACTTCAGAATTATCTAGCAATGCAAGAGGAAGACCTTAAATAAAAAGACAGAGACTGAAATCAAGAGAAGAAACGAGAAAAAGTGAAGTTAATATAAACAACCAAAAGCAGGCTGAATTTAAAAACATTTTTGAGAAAGTATCAACAAGTGCCCCTAGCAATCTTCATGCAGAGTAAAAGAGGAATGAAGTATCAGTGACACTTCAATATTTGTTGCAAATAGTTTGCTTCTGATGTCATAGCTATCTTGATCAATTTTGACAAGTAACACTTTAACAGATACAAACGTGTATGCCCTCTCCAGACGACACACTAATGATTTACTCCCTACGACATTCTCTGGAAATTAGGTTCAAATCATGCACAGTGATAAAACAATCACACACATATCCTAATATTTTACTTTAGATTACACTACATAACAAATCCAAACAGAATATGCAGAACAAAAAACAAAATTATAAACAATGTTTCCAATTCCTATTTTTTTGGCAGTCTAACGGCAGTTTATTAACATGTGAGTATTAAATAGAAAATAAAAAGTATAAGTAAAGTGCTGTAAATTAATTCAGAAATAAAAATGCAATATTATCGTATAAAACCTCATTCACTCAAGTAAACATGAAATTAACTCTTGCTTATCAATCTTTTGCCAGGCTCAAACACATGAGGTTTCACATTTGGGTTCTGCAATAAACTATTTCTATTGAAACGTGTCTTGTACCTGTCAATCTCATTCTTATATAAACATGTCAAATGCAGTTAACAATAAACCCTACTTAGAAACAATTTTCCTTAATTTAATATTTCACTTTACCTATAAGTAAATAAAATAATTCAAAAGATATGATGTGTTCTTTTGATGCCAGAATAATCATGGATTCAATCTAATGAACACTGACAGACTAGTCGTAATGACATACTTACCACACAATTATAATTCTTAATGCACTTTTGGGCAGGCAAATACAAAAGCATCTACATGGCTATATGAAAATCACTACTCCGTTATTAATACATAAATAAATAAATCTCAATTTACCTTTCCTCTGGACTATAACCCGCAAAAGGGGTCGGGCATTGAGCAAGGCACATCCCAAGTTGTCATCGTTGTTGATTGGCAAAAGGTCCCCATCTCGAGGATCCGTGTATGAAATAAGGAAAGGCACATCACTAAGCCGGTGAAGACGCTCGATTAATGCTCTGAAGTCTTCATATTTGGCTGTATCATTGCGAGATACAGAGAATCTCCTAAATTCAGCATCAAACTGTAGACAGGTAATTACGAAAATTAACGTTTAATTTCAACAAACAAAACTTTTGTACAATTAAGCATGCAACTCATCACATTTTCAGAGATACAAAATACAAGACCCACACATTCATATTATAACATTAAACTACCTCGACATATTACTAACAGATAAGTTTTAATTGTCACATCATTACTTCTTAAAAAAATATATGAAAGAATTTGCGTAGTACTTTCAAATATCCAATTCATTTATGTTGTAGACTTAATTACGGGAAAAAAAATTAACTATTGTTTAATTCTATGGCCACAAAGTAAAAGTTACTAACTAGACAGTTTTAAGGATTTAACTTTTAACCAGCAAACTAAGAATTTCGAAAACATAGTTTTTAAGCAGAGCAATATTTCTATCCAAAATTGTGAATCTAAACAGAAACACATATTACAAATGCTTTAATTGCATACATCTTACTTTAATTTTTCATTCTTCTAATGGATGAATGAAAAATAGAAGTATGATGATGTGCATAATTTATCCATAGCAATTTGCTAAGCGAATTCACAGTTTTAACATCTGAAACTATTCAAACATTGCACTGAACTTTCAAATCAATTTCCTAGATATAACATAATTTGAATATTGCAAAAGTCATTCTTATAGTTGGTCTGCTTTCATTTTACTGCCCATAACACTTGTCAAAATATTACTTACATTCCAATTAATTATTTTCCTGTTTTCAGTTGGCATGTGAAAAAGATCTTCTCGTGACAAAATTTCTTGAAATATTTTTAGTGACTAAAAGACGCGAAACGATTAGTCCAGATTTGAAAATAAAAATATCTAACAAAATAAACCAAATTTCTAACACAACTTATAATTAACGGTTACATTTGACGATTAAACCTTAATATAATCATAAAGCATGACATTAAAAGAAACTTCAGCGAAGTTTCGAGCAAGCATTTCTTCCAAATGACGGGAGTCGAGTTGCACAGAACGTAGGTTATGTCAACGTACGACAGACCAAAACACTTTTTGCATCTTTTACCTGACATTGAGCCACATGATCTATTAGAAAAATGTGTCTGAAATAGCTGCAAAGCTAAAAATAATTAATATCTTCACTCACGTATCAGGGATACTTCAAAAAATGTAGTTGACCTGGCGTCCAATTACTCACCTTGCTTTTCACCTCCACTATGCCGCTGTCAACTTTCAGCTGTGTCTTTGAATTCTTAGACATAGCGTTCACATTTAACTTCACCTAGGGTACGTACACAGAATCGAAACCATATTACAGAACACAAAAGAAACACAACATTAATGATAGCTCACGAAAACATCACTCCCTTCCACTTCCTCGCGATTTCATTCTTCAACGTCTCGTCACACTCCCCCAGATCCCTCAGAAATGAGTGTACAGTGACGTCGTATGACGTCATAAACACCTGCTGAATCTCAAACCCAAAACAGTATTTCATCAGAAAAATGTTTGAGCGAAAAGTATCAAAAAACAGGAATAATAATGTGACAAATGGAAGGATAAAAATTCAAAGAACATTAGAAGAAACGATACAAAAACCAATTTCGTACCAATGCCATGTTGTAATTATACTGGAAAGTTACCCAGGTTAGCCAACGCAGCCTAGCAGATGTTCCAAGAATGTAGGATGCAAAGAATAGGAAAGATGGGAATCCTGTCCCTAGAGGAAGGCATGATGAGACTGATTTTTAATACTCTCTGGACAAAACCAGGAAGACTGTTCACGTCCGGTAGTGTGGTAATACGTACGAAAAGAGTCCGCAGCTAATTGTGCATTTTACAATCAGCGACATCACGCGTTGAAAGGGAGAATCTTTAATGGAATTTTCAGTCAATGCACACCAAGCTTATGAGAACTTATAAGTTAAGTTACCATCATCTACATTTACTTACACATCGCAAGTATAGATGGCGTTAATTACGTGAATGCACGTTATTACAATAACACTTACATTCTAATTTAAACGTAGTGGCACTTCAAACTCACAACCTGGAGAGAGAGGACATTGTTTTCCTATCTAAACCTCCAATGTTCTATCCGCACATTTTCTTGAGCCCCGGAATATCTACCCCCACTATTTTCCCAACATTCGTTGCATTAAGAATAAATGATAGCAATGAGAGTTGTGGACAAAATCTAGTGACGAAGAATGTTCGCTCCCGTGCATTAAAAACTATTTTGCAGGAAAAATAAACAAATTCGACGTAAAATTCGATGAATTCGACGTAAAATTCCTTTTGTCAAAATAATCGAACTCCCCACTCCCCGCATTTAGCGAAGTGAGGGCTCAAGAAAACGTGCGCGGATAATACCAGAAATTTTAGTCTTAACGAAGCTACCGATTAGACGACCACCACCATTTTGTCGTACTAGAGCTACTACGTTTAAATCAGAGTATATGAGTGGTATTATTCGTGTGTTTTCTTGAGCCTTCATGTCATATGAGGAGACTTATTTAATAGAGGGTATTATTTCAAATCTGTAGCTCGTTTTTATTCTCAAAATACTTTATATTACATTGCAGCAATCATTCCTCGTGTTAAGATTTTGTCAGCAAGACTCGTTGCTAACGTTTATTCTAAATTTAACCAATTTCAATACAGAAAATTCGAGAAAAATGTGTGTACAATATTTAGGCAGTCTAAAGAGGTTTACTAAGTCATAGAAACGAGCTTGGATGGTCGAACATGTTAGTTTTCCAATTGACTGTATGATATCGCTGAAGACCACACGTACCGATTAGCTGCCTGCGCTTTTTATATATACTACTATCATTAAAAGTTGACCCTCCTTACTCTTTGCTCCGTAGTGTGGTCATTCCCGATATACTCTTTGGTCATTCCAACAATACTCAGCTTAGGTCCCCAGTGCTCGTGCTCCCGCGGATTGCATCTGGATAGCATTGGATAATTTTGATTTCTACTTGTTTGGAGACTGCGCTTACCTAAATTTAATAAAATGTTCCATATGAACTTTTGGAAGCTGAAATTGAAGTGGTAAACGGAGAGAGTAGGCAACAAAAAAACAATTGCTGATTAAAATAGACATGGAAATGTCAATGAAATTTTATTAAGCTTCTCAATCCCCTTTCAATATTCTTGAGGTATGCCTTGTCTGCTAAATTGAGTATCAATCAGTATACGTTTACCTCTGCATACATGCGGTTGTGGAGTGTTTAATTATGTGTACTACTTCACGAGCCTAACGCAAGCTGCACATAAGTTTGAAAAGCTTTTATCAGTTATTGATGTCGGTGTCGAAAAATTAATCAGTTTTGCTCACTATATCGTAGGAGTCCCAAGAATAGGCTACATTAAAATGGCTCAACAGGATAGCACTTCGCGACACGCTAAACAAAACCATTTATCCCGAAGTAGAGTTGCTCCATTTGATAACCCGTGTGAAAAGGTGTGTTTGAGAGGAATCGGTATCACGATGTTGCTATTGTAACTTGGGGGGCGGTAATGCAGATTGCAATTTTGTTGTATTCTTTCAGGAACAAGATTTGTCCTACAAGTGTTTGCATGAAAATGGGTTTGATAAAGACAAATGCTCCTTAGCATTTGCTAATTATCAAGCCTGTAAGGACTTTTGGGTATGATTGACAATAAACTTAATTAACTGTTTCTAACATGTTATTTAATTAAATTAATTTTTGTTTCTTTCTTAATTAGACTAGAGTTCGTGCAGAGAGGCGTGCAAAAGGTATTTATCCCTATATGCCAGCTCCAGAGGATCGTAAAATAATTCTAGACCAGTATAGGAAACAAGAATCTTGAAAGGTAGTATTTCAATGGGAAAATGGAATACAAGTGTGTTATGACTTTTATTTTGTCAAACATTTCAACGAATATAAAATACAATAAGCAGTTGTTTATATTTATGGTATGTGTAACCAACAGTTATTGTTCCTATTCTAACATACAAAATATTTTAATGCAACCTGGCTTATGAGCCTGAGCTTCTCCGTAATCATGTACTTTAAAAAAAGTTGTAGTTACTTCATAAAATTTCAAAACATCTGTACAGTAAGATTGAATAAATTAATAACAAGACAAAAAAATTGCCTTTTATAAGTAATCCTTACAGTTTAAAAGCCCTTGGTTGCATTCTGTTCCTGGGACAAAAAATTGACAATGTAATTTTTACAAAAACAGCAATCAGTATAAAAGACAATCTATGGAGTGACATTTCAGATTTATTTTACGTATCTTTGAGTAGCACATAATGCGTGAAAAACCAGAATAACTCTGATAATTTTCTCAACAAAACATAAATAATGATTAATTCTTACTGAATTTTCAAATCAGGAGAGATAATATGCAGTAAAATGAAGATGGTCACAAGATACCTTTTTTCTTAACTACTTTTTTCGCCAAGAATATGACAATTTTAGCTTTGGAAATAAAAGGAGTGGAATGATACCTCCCTTCCTATGTAAATGATCCTGTAATTACAATATTGTAATACATCAAGCGGGTTAGATTTTAGCTTTCAATTGCATGTTGTGTTGTAACAAACAATAAAATAATTCTTGCAATTATTTGCCTCCAATTATGATTTAGAGAAAAAAACGTGCCACTTCATATGATTGTCAGCTTCTGATGTTAGCATATTCATGGTGTGAAACATTCCCCTCTCCCTTCTGAACAGTATTTTACTTAGTTGAGAAAAGTACAAAAAATGTGTCACATTATAAATGATTATGACTAGAAAGATCAGAGACAATTTCAATGAAGAATAATACACATACTTTATTTCAATAAAATTAAATCGTTGCTAACAAAAAATCAATTGGGAATAAATATAATTACTTAAAGAAACATAAGTCACTATGAAGAAAGAATTATTGTATCACAATCTAAACATTGCAAAAATTTTAAGAAATAAGCTACCCAACAATTCTTATTTTGCTTTTGCTTCAAATTTTTAATAGAATATCTTTTAATTTACGATTATAGGATTTGGGTTGTTCTGGAAATTCAGAAATCAATTTAAATTGTATTCTTCGTTGATACAATTGAAAGAATGTTTCTTGTAAAGGCTATGTCACATTTGTGAACACACTTCCTACTACATTAATGTATTAGCAAGTACAGATATCAAAGAAAAACAGAATGTTTTGTTGAAAATTCAAACAAATTAGAGGCAAAACTCGTCACATCACTGATGTCAAAAGGACAGAAAACTAAGTTATTTTTTATTATTTAAGAGCAAATATCTCTCTGTTCTACTTCAATATTTACTTGCTTGTACTTTTGAAAGACAATGTTCCTGAGAACATTTAATTCAAAAAAAAGATTTCACAAACCTTTCTCTATTTTGTCTTTCATTTCTAAGTTCTGAAAATTACACAAAATTACCTCTCTCTATCATTTTCTTATTACACCACAAGAATTTGTATTGTACTCCACTGTTTCACTCCTCCACATCATCCTAAAATTAACACATGGAACATCTTTTAACAAATTATTGCTTCTATCTTATAAAACAAGAAATTGATCAGAAGTTGCACAATTTCTAACAATATTATTCTTTAAAAATTAGCATCAATACCATGAGATAACATTACAGCTTGTGGTGTAACAAAGAAAATAAGATTATTAAAACATAACACAGAATCAAATATAGACTACATTTTCTTACAATGCCATGAAGGCTTACAAAGCAAATTATGGCACAAATTTCGTAACAAACAATTTTGAGCCAAAACAAAATTGTTACATAAAATAGAACCTCCAATGGCCAAAGATGTCACTTTAGGCTTCCTTATTGATATGCTATGTAGTTTACAATACTTGAGATACTTTCTGAGAAAAGGCACACAATGTTGCACAAAATGTGTTTGCCACATTTCCCATTTTGATTGGTAATAACATGCACATGATGGCTTACACAAAAACTTTCAAAGTTGCAAGTTGTTGTAGGGAAAAACATATGGTTCAATTAATTAATATCCTCTCGCTCTTTAAAATGAAAACCACTGTATAAACAAATAAATATGCTGATCATGAGCATAATTACACAAATGTCTTCCTTAAAGTCATGGAAATTTAACTTACTAGCTAAAACAAATACTGCATGTGCATTACATGCTTTTGAAACATCAAGGTGAAACACTTCACATAAAATACATACTAGTTAACAAAACATGAAATACAATTCCAAGTATTGTTCAGATTAACTACTAATATTTTGTACAATGAACATTAAAGCAAAAAAAAACCCTAGTAACACACATGACAACACGTGTAACAGAACCGGAGAGAACGTACCAAATTGATGACAAATTAACCTCACAGCACAAACAAAAAACGTTGCAGTTCAAGCTATTTACTTTGTAGTTACAAACAAGCATCAAGAACATTAAAAATCTTCTTACAACAGCATATTCCCTGGAATACAAAAATGAAAACTTAAGAAATAGAAACCTTATAAATGAACTAACAGAATACTTCTACAGCTTTTCATGAATTTATACTTTTAAGAAACTAACATTTAACTTATAAGACAATTAACATACTTTTAAGACAAAATAAACATTGCTTCAGAACTTGCCCAGTTGAGATGACTGTAAAAAAAATATTTCGCTTCTGTATACGTGAAGTTTTCTTCAATCTTCAACATGGAAGCATCCAGTTTGCAGTTTCTAAATTCTGATCATCTGTCTATCAATTTTATAAAACGTGTACAATTTTGTACTTCACAAGTATACTCAGCTTGTAACATTGAGAGAGTGAATCTCAATAAAAATCACATGTTCTGAAGGGTATATTTTCTGTTGCTTCTATCCATTAATTACTTTTGCTCTAAAGAACCGAGTTTAGAACGTAATGTGTAAAAAAGCAAAATGGATAGTTTTGTAACATTAACTTTTAAACAAAATTGAATCTACACTGGCAAGTTTGAGAATGGATTGTTTACTGCAAATAAAACTTGAACCATTAAAATAAAATGATATAATGAAATTACAATAATTGTTTATGAACAAATAAATATATATCTTGCACTTTGTAAAGGAGCAAGTAAAATTCACAGTATAAGGAATGTTTAAAAAAGACATGAACAGAAAACATCAATGTTTTATACACATTTGAAACAGTTGGTCACAATTACTTAAACTTAAAAATGCATAGAATGTGATGTTCACAATTTTTTTAGTTCAGATATAAGATACGTTATACATTTACACCGCTCTGTAGAGAATGCTTGAAGCCAAAAAATCACTGATACATTCACACTCTTCTTTTCGATGTAGGCAGCAAAACTCAGGGGAATGAAGACTTCACTGACGAATTCAAAAATAGAAATGACAATTTTCTTCTCATCCATTCTCTTCATGATCAAGGTGAAGAAGTCTCTTGATGAAGAAAATTGAAGGAAATAAATTAACAAACATTACCTGTTGTGCTGAGGGTAGGTCTGTTAGCACCCTTATTTTTATGAAGTGGATAAGCTGTCTTTGCATTACATCCACTCTCTAGCCATGGTGCAATTCTCTCTGTGTCTGCATTTAACACGTGTTGTCAGCTAGTAGTCAATCGCCATGGTTTCTAATGCGGAAACAATCAATTCGGAAATGTTTGCACATTTGCCTCACCTGAAAGCACAAAAGCAACAATTTTTGAGCTGCTTGAATTCATCATTAAAGAAAAATGGAAATTGAAGAGAAAAATAGTGAAAAATGAAAATTACAATTATATAATATTCAAGTCGCATATTTTCAAATATAACCTCATTTATTTCATATTAACAGACCTGAACAATCTGGCTAGGGCAACAAAATGCCGTTGCTCTTCGCAGTCATAGTAGAATTAGTACTAGTAGTAGTTGTTGTTACAATTATTTATATTATTAGTAAGGAAAATAACTCACCTAAAAAACATTGCTAGAAAATGTCCTTACTATAGACAGAATTACAATTTGAAAAAACATACAATGGCCAAATTTGGAAACTATTTTCCCTTCTGTACTCATTTTAATATTTATGGACCCAGAAATCAAAACTATGAAACTAATGAAGATAAATCACTTTCATTTTTCTTTGCAAAGCAATGCCAGGTGATGTCAGGTAGTTTAATAGGCATAGATACACTAACTTATATAATGCTTAAAGATTCTAACAGAGAATTCAAATAATGTCCAAAAACGACTAGGAATGAAGAGAAAGTGTGGTTAGTGCCATTTTTGCATTTACCACTGAATAAAAGTACTCGAGTTTAATCAATCAAATGTATTTATTTTTCAAATTTGATTTTCCAAGTAAGGAAAAGAATCTGAGCCAATTTTTCAATTTCAAGGAATTTTTAATACCATTTTGGGCTTCTTAAATGTAGCAGAAAATCATTTTAAAAATAAGTTTATGTAACATTTTTGGATTATAATTTTTTTTTATATTAAAACCACAGTAACAATAATTTTTTTTTTTTTTTTTATGTTTTGTTAAAAGGCATTTTGATACTTTCAAGTTTCTTACCACACAAGTTCCATAATGAATATGAGCAATAGTTGCAAGTGTGGTTAGAATATACAGCAACGCCAGTTCAAGGTACGGTGCTGTAGATGGTAGACTTATGGACAAAACCACTGTCACAGCCATAGGAACCAATAACCAGTTCACAATTTCACATCGTGTAGATGACATCTGTGACACTATGAGTCGGCACTGCACAAACACAAAATTTATGAAGTCCGTTAGGACTTGCAAAACTAAATAAATCATTAAGTAATATTTCATTGTCTTCTTAAAATATTTTTTTTTTTTTTTTTTTTTAATAATAACTGTAGACCGAAATGAATGTTTTGAATACAAATTTTTATCTCTCAAGACACTAAAACAACTGACTCAAAAACCATTTCAATTTTTCACACATTACCCAAAATACTTACACATATGTTAGAAAATATGGTCCCTGTTACAAAATACACACATCGAGGATCCACATTAACAATGTTAGAAGGAGAGTGTGTAACCCACCATGTGCATAATATTAAAAATAGTATAACTGGAACTAAGGGGCGAGAAGCCTCGGTAAAGGATCGCATTTTCCCAGTCTTGTCTCTGTACGATCTAAAGGACAATTCAAATTAAATCAATGAAGTGTAACAATTCTAAGAAAAAATTATACAAAAAAAATTGAGAAACATACTTGTAAACGTTCCATATACACATAGGCAAGTTTGATGCCAAAGCACAAATATAAAATGTCAATTCAAACATTTGCCCTGCTGATAAATCTCCAGGAAGCCTAAATGTCCAAAACTTGTGGCCACAAATGGAGGTCATAAGGAATATAATAATGGCAACCTGTTAATACACATAAATTAATATTTCACATTTTGAACATTACCAGTTAAGAATTCACTAATGCATTAACACAAAACCACATACTAGCATTGAAGCATCATAACCCCAGGGCAGGAACAATACACCAGTGTTGTATTTTTCCCAGTGAGAAAGATGGAAGTTGATAAACACATTCCAGAGACAGAAGTAAAATCTCATGGCTGAAATTCCCTGTGTTGTACGTCCAAAAATCGAATACATGCACGTAGGAATCAGAACAGCTGTCCATGAATCTAACCCATGATCAAATAATTCCCCAAGAGGTCCACTTGTCTGTGTTCGTCGGGCTTGTTTCCCATCAACTCCATCTAAAAAAAGGTAAAATCAGAAAACAAAAATAAATTTTATAAATAAAAATTATGAACAGAACAGTGTAAACACTACAAAAGTACTTTAAAACTAGTTGCTAAAAATGAACTATCAAAACATTTTTCTGTATTTTTGAATATTGGGTTTTCTTATGTGATGATAATTACTTGTCTGCAAATTAATATAAGCAGTCTGACTTTTACTTGCAATGTTTATGTTATTGATTTTCATTTCACTGAAAAACAAGCCTAAAAATTTTCTACAACCCAACATTCTCACTGAAAATAAAGTAATATTATAAAACTGCATTTCATCAAGAAAATCACAAGGAGTCAAAATTATATAAAATAAAAATCATCATCATCCTATGTAAGTTTAGACTTCAGTCCAATCCTACAATTGAAGGGCTTAGTAGAACAAGGGACTATCCCACATGGACCTAATTCTGAGATATTGATAGTTTTACTATACCATTCATAATGAAACTCAGTACACTTGCATACAAGTCCGTAATGGATTTCAATAATACATTACACTAACAGAATAATATTTGAAGTTATAATTCATGCTAATAATTAGAGTTCAGGCATTTATTTGACCTAATATAGGGAGGCAAAAAAGCATTTACTTTTATTAAAAAAGGCATTTATTCTAGCTATAAGTAGGAAGTACAAAAGACATGAAAATGAAAAAACTTTTTTTTTTAATTGTAAAAAAAATTTTAGTTATTCATATTTTTACTTTAACTCTAAAATTTATAATAGCATTTAACGTTTAAAAAAAAATCTTCCCTTTGTAATCTTGATTCCACATGACAACTTCTCCTTTTTTTTTCTTTTTTTTTTTCTTCTTCTTTTTTTCTTTTTCTTTCCCCCCTTCTTTTCTTTCCTCTCCTCGTGACACTATCTTTTAGAAATGCTATTGTCAAATCCCTTTTGGATATTGATATTCCATCAGTGAGAACGGAACAATATTTTTCATTTTTTGCACTTGTGTAATTGCCAGCACTGAGAGGGGTCTATCATATATAGAGAACTGTTCTCAAGAGGCATCAGTAACCACACTCAAAAGTAGAATAGGATTCCTTGTGAAGGAAAAGCCCTGTCGACATCAATTGACACATCAAAAATCTAGACTAGTATATCTTTCTTTTTCACTTAGATTTTAATCACAGCCTCTGCTTCGACAGAAAAACCAAACATGATCCTGCATACATATTGTCCAGGCTTGCAGGTATATATTCAAATTGATGACGATCGATGCCAGGAGACAAAAAAGCAAAATGAGGGAAAAGGCAGAAAAAGAAAAATAACAAAAATACGTTTCAGGAGCTAAAATAGGCAAAAATGCAAAATGAAAATTCGTAATAATGAGGAGATACACAGAAAAAGGCAAATATAAAACAAAATGGCAAAAATAGGCTTCAGAAGCTAAAATGGGCAAAATAAAAATTTACTAAAACAACTCCAGAAGTACAATTAAGCGATTCATGCTGTTAAAGGTCCTAAAACAGTAACAATAACAAAACAACATTTTGACAAACTTCCAAGCTCTACTAATTTCTTGCAAACAAAAAGTGTAGGATAGCCCCTTGTTCTACCGAGTCCTTCTATTTCCAAACTCTTCCTCGGCCACTTCAGATAAGTGGTTTTTCTTTTCCCTTCTGTCTTCATATAAATTAGAAAAAAATTATACCAATAAGCAGCAAATGCCATGTACATTATTCCTGCAAGACTCTTCACCAAGTGCTTTCAATTCTACCTATGCCTCGTCTACTATTCTCCTTATATACTCCTTCATTTATTTATTTAAAATCTGAAGTTTTTCTCAGAACTGACTTGCTTAAGGGTGGGAACATTTTTCCATGCAATACTGATATTTATAATTACAATACACAAACACTCATGAAGATAAGTATTGTACTGCATCAATTTTAACATAAGGGCAAATAAATTAATTCTAATACTTCAATTGACACAATACATGTCAAGCACATTTTGTATTATCTTACATGCTTTCCAAGGTCGATTAATGAGTAAAACTAGGTCTATGAATCAATTATTTTCTAATTAATCAAAATACAGCCTACAAAATACAAGATGAAAAATGAACCAGATTAACATGTCATCACATTTTTAAAAAAAAAAAAAATCAATGGCAAAAACACTTGAGTTTACATCTCACCTCCCACCTACATGTGGACAGAAAGCAAATATACTACATGAAAGATAGTAACATTCAACTGTAGTGCAAGAATATTCAAAAGGAATATTCCATTAGGTGCCACAGATCAGATTCAGAACTGCTATCAACTGAAGAGAAACTGATCAACTGTGTCATAATTTCTCACAGCAAAACATTATTTGTCAATTAATATTCTGAATTTTTTATATCTTGTACAAATATTTTTCTCTCCTTGAATAATAATCTACACATTTATTAGAAAATAAACTTCAATACCTAAGGTATAGGCGAGAAATATGTTAATAGCTGCTGCTAACCAAACCCATCTTGGTATTGGAGGGATTTCTGAATGGTCAAGACTTGATGCGTAGAAGTAATAATCGTAGTATGAAAACAAAATAAAATTGAAAACTGTGAAGAGAAACCCCACGAAGGTGAGCACGTTAGGTGCAATCCATTTTGGACACCACTGAAACAGAAATATTATAGAGATGTTAAAAAGTATTCTTAGCTTATTTAAATCATGTAAAATATTGTTAGATCTCTTACCAGAACAACTTTATTCCAAAATGGGTGCATCACATAAATACTGAGAGGGCTTGTATCCAGAGCACTGTACTGAAAATAGAAGTAACAAATGCCATTAGAAATTATTAAGTTTAATGAGAAATTAAAAAGTTTCAGCGACTTTTGACATAAATTAAAATTCCTCATGCATTTACAGTGGCCTCACACCTGTGAAGACAAAAGCTCAGATCAAATGCAAATTCAGAGAAGTACTAGGGTGAGGATAACTTCCAATTAAGATCCACTTCTTTTCACAAAAAAGATGTGAATTTTTAGATCAATCAATAGAAAATTTACAAGTAAAATTAAAAGAGAATGAACAATGACACAGGTATACCCTTAACATTTCTAATATCTGTCATTTGGATCCAGCCTTTGCTGAATTATACTAACATATTTTATTCATATTCCACATGAACATTTTTACATCAATAAATTCAAAATTGTATAAGATGAATATTATTTATTTGTTACACATGTCTTTGGGTCAGGGCACATCAGCCTATCCAACGCTCTTATGTCCGCTTCCCTCCAACACTTTGCAAATCATCATAATTAATGAGTTCCTCAGACAGCCGTGATGGAAGTACATTATTTTCAATTCCCCAATCAATATTATTCTTATTCCATGTCAGTGCAAGTGAAACAAAAATAACTTGCACCACGCTACAAAATGTTCGGGTACAGAAGAACGAAACAAATATTTAAAGATGATCGCCACCCTTGATTTTATTCTTATCGTTCAGCGAGCAAGATGCAGAACCAGGCATTTTATTATAAAACTTAAGAAATTATGCGTATGCTTTGTACAAATGCAAATCAAGTAATATCCATCCACTGCGCTGTAGCATACATGTTTGCGCAACAATGAATTGGTTTCCGGGCCAGATGCCAAGGACACGTCTGGGCCAACTGATAGGCACGGCACAGTTTCGTATCTTCAACAGCAGGGGAAGACCAATGGGCGGTTTTAAATTTGCGGATCACATCGTGGTCGGCAGAGAAAAACCGTCGGCCCAGTTCCCCGCATTATCTTCGTGCCAAGCGTATCGTGACCAAGCTTTCACGATCACACCGCCGCACTCAACTTCGCTCACACACATACATACACACATACACACACACAAGCAAACCAGCGCGCGCGCGGAGGCGGAGGGGTTAAGTGAGATTTTACGCAGAAAACTCTGTCGAGTACAATATTTCAAGCTTACTTCACGAAACAAAATCGATAATTTCATAATAATATAACACTGAAATGGAAGATATTGTGTAGACAGAAAATGTTTCTCTCTCCTTCGAATTGGAATAGAAATAAAACACCCTGGTACTTGAAAACAAATAAACGCACTTTCAGGGAATTTTTATTGATAATTTTTCTGTCCAGTCTCCACGAAAGTTAACAATCCGAGAGAAGTAATACGATTCAATTTTACACAAAAAACTTATCTCCATATGCAACATAGACTGAACAATATACTAAGGTGACAAATGTACGGGTATAGCTATATACGAAAATACAGATGGCAGTAGTATCGCGTAAAAAAGGTATAAAAGGGCAGTGTAGTGACAAAGCTTTCATTTCTTTTCAAGTCCGTTACTTACACAGGATGTACCTGTCATATCTCGACATGGTGCAAGCCTTTGACAAAGTGATACACAATCACAAACTCATCACAAAACTTCGGCGTTGCCTTCCACAAGACGTAATCGAAATGGTTACATGTTTCGTCACAAACCGCACATTCGTGGTAAATGTGGGGAAAGAGAGATCTTCAAAGCGGAGGATTGCGGCCGGAGTCTCTCAAGCATCCGTCCTCTCTCCGCAACTGTTCTCGTTGTACGCTAACCCATACCACGAACATTACTTTTCCTTAATGCTGATGACATAGCCGTCTTAGCAAGAGGAATAAACCTAGACCACAAACTCAAAATACTTCAAAAACAGATGAACCTGACCAAGTGGGCGGAACAAAATCACTTGACTTTTTCTACGGAAAAGTCGCAGGCAATCTATTACACCCGCCGCAAACAAAATACACTAAGCGTTTTACGCCACCAAAACAAATTACAGTTGGCACACAAAAACTGACATGGGCACCTCCTTAGGCGTCACTTTTGATCGACGGATGTGCTGGCATTTACATCAAAGAGTTCGACTCTTACAACCTCTTTTGAGGGAACCCACACTCCCCTTGGAACTTCGCTTGGCACACTATAAAACGTGTTGGCGGCCAGAGGCCACATTAGCCTCAGAAGTTCAAGGATACACTTGAGCCTGTACAGAACAAAGTTCCACGGCTCGTAGCAAGCCCTCCGTTTCTGAAACGGTGGAAAGTACAGAGGAAGGAACTTGATATCGAGTCCTTCACACAATGCTTGAGACGACTTTCGTTTAACGAAGCCTATCGAGCCTTTCAAACCAACGAAGCTCCGGCAACGCCAAAACAATTAGCTCGACACGTCCCAACTACTGGGCAAAGAAGAGGAGCACTCCCCTCTGATATTCTGAGGACGTGCGCGTAGTGAATCACAAAAGCCGATTTTCCTATTGACTAAGGTCCGACACGAACCCACACCAGCCACTTACACGTAGCAGAAAAACGGCGAAATGCGTACTTCATTCTAAGTTTTTGATTAAATTTTGTTGTTGAATAGTGCAAAGAACGTGTAAGAGAATGGTACGGATCTGAGTTTCGTTTTTCGAATGTCCCCAATTTTTCGAAAATTGAAAGAAAAAAACTACTCAAGTGATTCATGTAACAGGGTTTCTAACGTCATTATGGTCGCACGATGGGAACAGACTGAACGCGGAATGGTAGTTGTAGATCGACGCATCGGGCATTCCATTTCGAAAATCGCTAGAGAATTCAATATTCCAATATTCAGTGTCAAGGATGTATCGAGAATTCATAACTTCAGACATTGCCTCTCGAATTTACAGAATCAGAGGCCGACGGTCTTCTCATAATGATCGAGGGCAGCGGCGTTTGCTTACGGTTGTCAGCGCTAACAGACAAGCAACACTGCCCAAAATAACAAGACAAATCAATGTGGGACGTACGACGAACGTATTATCCTATCCATTACGTGATCATATCGATTTCACCCTAGACGACTGGAAAACCGTGGCTTCCCGAGATAAGTTTCAATTGGTAAGAGTTGACAGTATGATTCGAGTGTGGCGCAGACACCACGATGCTATGGACCTAAATTGACAAGGCACTATGCAAGCCGGTGGCGGTTTCAAAATGGTGTGGGCTGTTTTACATGGAACAGACTGGGGCCACTGGTAGTTCCAACTTTACATGGAATGCACTGGTCTTCATCCTTAACTGGAAATGGTTATGTTCAGCTACTTAAAGATAGCTCACGTTCCCAAATAACGATGCAATTTTTTATGGGTGACAATGCGCCACTTCAACGGCAATTGTTCGCGATTTGTTTTAAGAACGTTCTGGACAACGAATGATTTGGCCAGTTTGTGCACAAAATCCTGCACCTCCAACCATTTCGAAATTACGGACGGTTGTAGGCAACATGGCTCAATATTTCTGCAGAGGACTTCCAAAGATTGGTTGAGTCCAGTTGTTGAATTTCACCGGGCAAAAGGAGGTCCGTCACGATAATAGGAGATTTCCCATGACTTCTATCGCCTCAGCGTTGTGTATTCCTTTACAAAAGTCTACGTGTTCGACACACAAATGTCTTTCAAGGGCATGCACAATTACAATATTTTCATAATTCAGTAAAATATAACTAATAACATTGATATAAAATTCCTAAGGTTATCCAGGTATGGTCCTATATAATAACTAATTCACAATGTAGGTTTGTTTTTTTATGAATTTCCTACTGCTAATTAAGGAGTTTGGAAGATATCTTTTGAATACAGAGTCTTAATGAGGAGAAAAATTATTACATGATTTGCATAATTTAAATTTATTACTTGCTGGACGATATGGAAGAGAAGAATAACTAGTGGTGCAACAGAATGACTTTCCCATATTAGTTTTATATTTCCTTTGGTCTCTGCTACATATTCGGACTTGCCAAACACTCTTGGAAGCTGCCATCTGTTTTGTTTGCCAGTCGTCCAAAGTACATTTTTTTCTCAATTTTTCGCCGCTAACGTAAATGTAAACGACGCGTGAGAGAAGTTAAAAAATATATCTTGTAAATTTTGAAGAAACAAAAGAATAGAGCAACATGGCGTTTGTCATATTGGAGTACATTTATCACTATCCATAACAGAAAGAAAAGAAAAAAAATTGGAGTCGTGTTTGAGGAAATCTTGTTTCCATTGTTTTTTTTTGTTTTGTTTTTTTGTTTTTGTTTTTTAATGCTCATATTGCAACCAATATTGCGTGAAAACTGCTAAAATTTTCAAAATAATATTAATGTGATAATTTTGAAAGATACGAACAGATTGAATGTATTTTGTGTATTTTAAAACAGTTGAAAGTTCAGATGTTTCAGATAAGTCAAAATGTTCCGAGCTAGTGGGTAAGTTCACGTAAGTATAAGGAGTATACCTCCATAAAAGGGCCCCGTCTCTTATGACGCACTAGCGCTTGTAGTAATAAATGTTCCCGTTTCGTCCCTATTTGTACGCTTTTGTAATGAAACGTTAGCGACAATGTTAAGAAACAAAATAATTAAATTAACGACAAAAGGTTTTTCTATATTTGGAATATGTATATATCAAATCGTAAATGAACTAGTCGTGCTACAAAATTGCAAAATTAGACGCGCTAGTTGCCTAATCTCTTTTGTCTGGACTAGCTTTTCGCCACTGTCCCACTCTCTTCCCAACTACTATCAATCGGCGCCCAAGATTTTTTCCGTAGCTTCTCATTTTCGGCCCACTGATAGTAGAATTAACATATAACTTCAGTATTATAAGGAAGAAACACATGGCCCTTGGTCTTGGAATTTGCGATGTTCTAAGGTTCACACTTTTTAATTAATATCTGCATTTTACCATGCTCCACTCGGTGAGAAGTGTCCGATATAATTAGTGGAACTAGAATGGCAGACACCGTTCTAGTACG